GCTTTTCATCTTGTTAACAGATATTTTTTTTTTTTTTTCAGAACTGGGGATTGAACTCAGTTCCTTGCACTTGCCAGGCAAGTGCTTATTCTACTGAGCTATCTTCCCAGCCCCTTGTTGACAGATTTTTGACTTGTGTCTTTTTCAGAAAAATTAGTAAACATAATTGTTGCTTTTAAAAATGGCAGTAGAGATAAGCAGAAAGATGACAAACTTGAGCCCAGTCTGGGCTCAAACCTTGTCTCAACATGAAAGACAAAAAGTGCTGGGGCTTTAGTCCCGTCTAAGGCCCTAAATTCAGTCCTCACCCAGTAGTACATACATACATATATATACACACAACACTACTAAATAGCACACAGGTGAGCCAGTTAGGAACAGTGTGTGCCTTTCTAGCCTCTGCTTTTTAAAAAATTTTTTAAAAAAGTTTTTTTAACATATTTGGTCCAGGATCTCACTATGCAGCTTGGACTCATAGTGACCCACCTGTTTTCAGCCTCCCCAAACGCTGGGATTACAGGGTGTGCCACCATGCCTGGGCTCTCTCCGGCTCTGTGCACCCGAGGGCAGGGCCAGCATGGCATGCAGTATTGGGGATCAAACCCTGGTCCCTGCGCTTGCCTAAGCAGGCACTTAGTCCACTGAGCTGTCTCACCAGCTCCTCTTTTCTACATATACAGAAACAGTCATGGTGGTGGGTTCTGGTTTTGCTTTTTCTGTTACTTGAAGTTTATCACATGGGGGGGTCTCTTCACAACGCAGTGTGGTCCTCTTGCTGGGCTGGAGTGTAGGACTTTTGCTTGCTTTCAGTCAGCTGTACAGACATATTAATACCACAGTTAACCAACATAGAGTGGGCAGGTCTTGAGGCTGCTTCAGCCTTGTTGCTGTGAATTGTGCCATGTGCACAGTCACCCGTCACTTCATGGTCAGAATGGGTCCCGAGAGTGTGTGCTTAGTCACTTCTTTCATGATGCACACACTGTAGGGTATACTTAGTAAGCCAGAGTGGTAGTGTCAGTCACTCCTCATGGCCCTGCTGCAGTCAGGACACCTGGTGACACGGACATTGGAGGCACTGCGATGTGACCGCACATGCGTTTGTGTGTGGACCCAGGAGTGCGCTCTCTGGTGGCAGTGACTAGCCTTTTTCTTGCCTGAACTACATCAAGTGATGCCAAGTTGTCCTGGGCTGCACGTAAAATGCATAATAAAGCTAATGTATGGGACAGAATTTTTAGAAATGTTTTTCATTATGGCATTTTTTGAAAAGCACAAGTGGCCCATGAGCTGGAGATGGGACACACTTAACGTCTAGTGTTTTCAACCCATAAACCAATCATGGTGTTTCACCATATCCGGTATTGTATGTAGTTGTATATGCTATAGTACCTGAGTTGTAGCCTGTACAACTATATGTAGCCTGTACATGTAGTTGTACCTGAGAAGTGGCCCAGTTGCTAGGACAGCTGTCACACCCCTGGGCAATGGCAGCTGAAATCATGGGGGACCTCCTTTGTGTATACAGTCTGGATGAGAACCACAGGCTGGCTTCTTGAGCTGAAGTATGTGTGGCACAGAATAACCACGGAGACCGCCAACGCCGTGCTGGGTCAGAGCCTCCAGAGCGCTGTGCTGTACGGTTTTCCATGGGTTCATGGGAGATTTTTAGTACATAATGAATTTACTATGCACCAAAAGCTGTATATAAGTTTTTCATAGATGTGGCCAGTGTTCTCCAGGCAGATAACCTGCTTATCTTCTTACTATCTGCATAAAAGGGCGTATTTCCAGACCCTCATTGATGTTTGGAATATTACCAGCCTTCATCTCTAATTCCAGTCTTGCAGATGGTATGTATGTATTTATTTGAGTATATATCAGGCCCAAAGTATGTTTCTGCTGCTATTATCTCCTGGATTTTCATTTCTATCCTTTGCCCAGTTTTTGGTTTAGTTTCCTTTCTGTTTTTGTCTTTCCAAGACAGGGTCTTACTTTAATAGCCCAGGATGTTCTTGAGCTGGTGTCAGCCTCCCAAGTGCTGGGGTTATAGCATGGGCCACCACGCTTGCCTTTCCCTTGCCTGGTGTTACAGGCTCTTCTCTTGGTTATTTTCTACAGATCTGTACAGAATTTGCTTGGGAAACTTCTCTGTGAAACTCCGTCTGTTGTGCTGTGAGCACAATGATCCTCCTGCATTTCCTGGTAGGCCTTGGTGCGTGGGAGTGTCTACTTTGTGTATTGGTTTTATATCCTGCGCATTTAACAGTTCTTAAAATATTTTTTCTCTGTGACTTTTTATCACAGCACCCCTGGGTTCTCCTGAGGGAATTACTTGGTGTCCTTACAAAGACCCGTTCTTCCCATGCCAGGATGCAAAACAGCCGTGCTCTCCCGACCAGGCCAGGCAAATGCCTTTCTGCCAGTCACTTGGCCTAGCACACAGTAGAACACGGGGAGTCGATGTGGACACCAGTTTTCTCTTAGTCTCATCGCCATCAGGCAAGGCCCAGAGACACAGCCACTGCTGTCCCAGAAGGTGTACCAAGTGAGGCATGCTCAGTGCAGAGCTGCTGAGAATGGCTAAGCTTTGGACAGTGTGGCTGGCAGTCCCTTTTTGTTTTTCTTTTGCATTATTACGGATCAAACATAGGGGTACTCTGCCTTTGAGCCATGTCCCCAGCCCTTTTTATTGTTTAATTTTGAGATAAGGTCTCACCAGGTTGCCCAGGCAGGACTCCAACTTGGGATCCTCCTGCCTCAGCCTCCCTAAGCAGTAGTCCCTTAACTTTAGTTAATTAGCATTTGGCTGTTACCTAATTTGAGCAGTATAGGGATAGCAACTTTCAGAGCTGTATTGAGCCCAGCTTATACTGGTGGTGAAGTTTGAGCTCAGGAAAATTACGACTTATGGAATCACCCGAGGAGGCATCAGCTGTGTTCAGATGGTGACGTTCTGAGCGCAGAGGTCATGCTGTCTCCTTGCCCCACACTGTCAGGAAGAAGCTGCATTGTCCGTACCCAGTCACATAGGTCAGCACTTGTTACCTGGTCCTGAGGACTGGAGGAAGCTGCAGAGGGAATGACTCTGACTGGGATTCTTTTCTTGGGTTGTTTTCCTGGCGTAAATTGAGATCAAACGTTGCTTCTTGCTCTCTGGCTGCCTGAACACCGGAGAACCATGCCATTATCTAACACTTGTTACCCGTCAGCCACTGGGCCCACAGCCACCTTGCACCTGTCAGCTGATGATGAATATCTAGGCCAGAGGTTTCTAAAGAACGGTTGCAATGGAATAGGGTGCTCCATCAAGGCGACAGGTGTTTGCAGGGAATAGGTAACACCCTGGTGCCTGCCTCTGCTTGTATTTCCTCGTTGCTGCGCGCGCACACCAAGCCCCTGGTCAGTCCTGTCCTCCTGGGGCCTTGTGCAGGCCCTGTGCCTACGCCATGTCCTGTTCCATATGGTGCTGGGGCAGACCCTCCCATCTCTTGGGCTCGGCTCGGACTCCACTCCTGACCTCCCTTCTATCTTCCATCCTAGTCCTGTCCAGATGTTTCTCTTCCAGGAGGGTCTCCAGCCATGTGCCACTTCCCACATGAGCCACCAGGCCCCAGTTAGCCCACTTGGTGTGGGGCTAGAAGTGCCCAACTGCCCCTGTGGGGAAGTGAGCTCTTCTGGCCCCTGTTCTAACTTAGCAGGTCCCACCCAGCCTGTGATTACACGGGAGTCCTCAGCGTCCTTATCGTAGCACTCACTGTCCCCTGGTCATGCTGACGTCCTGAGGGTCTCTCTATCATACCATTTTGGTGATGGGCCCAGGACTCGGCCAACCCTGACAGGACTTAAGGGGTGGTTCCTGGCAGCCTTTTCTTGAGGTAGGAGCTTAAGACTGGGTCTCACTATGCAGCCCAGCCTGGTCCTGAATTCACTATGCAACCCAAGCTGGGGTTGAACTCGGCCTCTAGTGCTGGGCCTTTTCGGCCCGGAAGGCTTTAAGGCCAGTGCTGTTCACTGACTTACTGTTCTCCTCTTGTCCCTGTCTGCAGTGTCACACCAGGGGTAGGTTTGACAGCTCCTGAGGAATATCCCTGCTGAGGGAGAATGACGTTTCAGGAAGGATGATGGCGAAGGCCTCCTACCTTCTTTCCTGCTACACCCTCTGGCAGGCAGCAGGGATAGTTGGCACCCAGCACACATCAGCCTACTCATCAGTCCTCAGTGGAGGCTGCCGAACTTCTACACCTCTGCCGGGCCAGCTCACAGGCCTCCCTGCACCCACAGGCCCGTAAGGTGCCCACTCTTGACCAAAGGCGCCTTCTGCCTTTTGAGGAGAAAGGAAGTCTGTCCCATCCCACACCCATGACATTTGCATAACTAAGCATGTCATTTTGCAGGTGGTGAATATGTGGGCATAGAGGTAGGTGTCTCAAGCAAGGCTTTCCCTGGCATCTGACAGATGCCTGGGCATGTGGGACAGGCTCTGAATGTTGACTGCCACGGAAGTGTCCAGGCAGAGCCAGGGCCACGGGGAAGCCACAGGCCCACAGTGAGCTTCCACGGGGCACAGTACAGTCACCTGTGTGCATTGTAGAGCGACATCACAGTGTGACTCCTCATACCCTGACTGGGGTAGAGTGGGGGAGAGGACATAGACACTCCAGGCCTCATCAGAGCCCATGTCCCAGACCCCATCATGGGCTCCAGCAGACCCACTGCCTTCCTGTGCCAGGCTGAGTGTGCCCCCACCCTTGCTGGTGCTCAAATCTACCTGTCCCTGATTGCTGTTGCCCCCAGAGACCCGCCGTGTCCTACCCCATCAATAGTGGGCTCATCCCAGCCCTCCCATGTGCCAGAGGTGGAGGTGTCTTTGTGGCAGTCTAGAAATTTCCAGCAGCTAGAACTACCCCTCTTTTTGTGTCCCCAGTGGGACTGGGGCTGTGGGGGCTTTGTTCCTACTCTGCCTCTGATGGAGGAAGGGACTCAGGAGACCACAAGAATGCACACTTTTATTCTGGGAAGCAGCAAGCACCGTCCTGGCCACAGGCAGCGTAGGTTGATCAGAGCTTTTCCAAGTAGGACCCGGGAACAAAGCCACGCTGCCCATTCCGTTCCACTGTCCACCAGCCATCCTCCCCCTCTAGGATGACTGCCAGGATGTCCCCCGCAGAGATGTCCAGCTCCTCAGAACTCTGGGCAGAGGTGACAAATATGTAAGACCCAAGAGACTGGTGGGGGCTCTGGCCATGCACTTCTAACCAAGTAGGAAGTATGTGCTGGGGGCGTGGTCAGCTGAGCTGTGCACACGCCAGGCCCAGGCTACCTCTTGGGACAGACAGGATATGGGTATCCTGTCCTATGTCATCTGCAGCCTCCCCTGCCACTATAGCCACTGGAGGAGCACAAGGAACTCAGGCACTCAGCCCACCCATGCCAAGGACACACTTCCTCAAGGCTCACCACACACCCGACCCTGCTGCAGGGCCCAGGTGTCCCTGGCTGACTACTGGCACAAAGGCATCCAGTCAGTGTCCTACTGGGGACTGGGCTTAGCGTCCATGTCCCTCCATGGCTTTGGTCAGTGCAGCCCACACCCAGCCCCTGGCTATCTAGGCAGTGGCCACAGCCCTACTGGGTCTGGCTGCAGACCTACAGCCCTGACCTCCATGCAGGAGGGGAGTCCCTCCCTGAGTCTCCTCACAGCCACCCTTAGCTGCCTCGAGCAGGCCTTAGGGGTAGAAAATCAGTCCCAGCATGGCCGGAGGACCCACTCTGACCATGTAGTTTTCCATACCAACAGCCAAGGACAGGGCCCTGAGCCAAGGGGCAGAGTCTGGCCCTCAGACCAGATATGAGCAGAGCAGAGCTGGCCCCCACCTGTGCTGCATAGTCGTACAGTGCCCGGTAGTCCTGGGCGGGGGCCTCCTGCGCAGGGACGGCGATGTCCGCATAGACGCACTCCTTTCGCTCAGGGGTGGGTGTCAGGGTCTCTGTAGAAGCTGAATGGTGAGGCTGGGCTTGCCCCTTTCTCAGGACCAGCCCTGATGGCCCTGCGTAGCCCACTTGCTATTGGGAGAGACTGTTCCCTCTTGGGGTTGTCTATGTCATGGGTTCTCCCCACTTCCCCCCGCAGTTATCCCGTTACCAGCAGGAGCTTGCGAGGATGTGGTCTTTGGACTTCCATGCAGCAGCCCGGAGAACCTGGGTGGGGGTGAAAGAAAGTGGGTGCCCTCACCTGGGAGGGAGGGAGGGAGTGAGGCAGGGGAACCAGAGTGCCAGGATGCCTGCTGGGCTTGGGCCCCCAGCCTCCTGCACAGGTGAGACTTAGGGGGTGTCCTGACAGCAAGAAGGCTCCCCAAGAGTGTTGGTGTTCATCCTGTGCCCTTCCATCTGTAACAGTCTGAGCCCTAACCTATATGTACCCTCTGGGCCACTATAGGATCCCTGAAAATACGCTCAGATCCCCATGCCCGCTGTGGCCTTTCCGGTGGGGCAGGAGCTCGTGCCTTGACACCCTGCTAGGGCTGTCACCAGGCTGGACCAAGCCAGCCCTCTTCTTCTGTGGCCCCACAGCAGCCAGACACCCAGGTTACACACAGCACAGCCCAAGTACCTTGGCACCTGGCCACAGCCAGCCCAGGAAAGGGTGGAAGCCATCCCAAGGTGTGGGCTCTGCTCCCCAGCTCCTGTGTATATCCAGGACCTCGCCAAGCTTACAGTGGTGCCCAAGGGAAGGGGAGCTGGCCTGAGGGCACAGTCACCCGGTGCAATTGTGTAGGGTATGGATCCCTGGGGCCTAGGCTCCCTGAAGCTGGGCTGAGCCTGTCCTGCCTCCCAAGGGCCCAGCACTCACAGCCCACGCACACAGGAGAGAGTGGCAGAGCCCCTGTCCCTGCCCGCTGATGCCACTGCTGCTCACCTCTTTATCATGCCGCAGGATGGCTGTACACCAGGGCTGCCAGTTGACAGGGTGACTTCCCGGTCGTAGTAGTTCTGGTAGGGCACTGGGGCTGAGAGGGCATTGTATAAGGCCTGAGGTAGGCCCCTGGAGCTGGGCCTCCAACTGATATCCTGGCCTCGGTCCCACTTCCCCTGCTGCTCACGTGAGGGACCCCACTGCAGGCACCACAGTAGTGGACAGATTTGCCAGAACCAAGCAGGTTGAGATGGGGCTGTGGGCTTGCCTCCAGTCCCTATCCTCACTTTCCTTCTGAGAACCCCAGGGTGCTTACTGCAGGGAGGCAGCAGGCCAGAGACCCACCATCTTGGGGTCTGTACTGAACTGTGTGCCACTCAATCCTCCCTGGGCTGAGGCCCAGAGAGCCCCGAGGCCTCCGAGGCCAGGTAGACCTTACCAGGGGGCTCGGTTCCTGTGGCCTTGGCCTGGATGAAGCTGTTGAGGTCAGCATCCACGCTGCAGCCTTCCAGCGTCAGCCGTACCTCCTCATAGAGCTGGGTGGAAGAGTAGAGGCTGTGACCCTGGTTCCCCCAGGGCCTGAATGAAGGACCTTATGGGAGTTAAGAGCCCCAGCCGACAGCTTCCTGCTTCCTGAGCACTTGGCTGTGCCGAGATCCTATCTAGTTTGCATTGTAGGAAACTCAGAGGGGCAGGGATCACAGTCAAGCAGCGCTGCAGGGACCCAGAGCCCATAGGCAGCTGTTCTGACTCCCCATGCTTGGGAGGCGGGAGCAAGGCTGACATCTGAGACTCCTGATAGAAGCACAGATGGCTGGGTGGCTGCAGGTTTGGCCCTGGAACCCTCCCACTCGCCCACCTCGTCATCCTTGACGCACTGCATGGAGAGCTGGTTACAGTGCACCCACAGGGCATTGCGTAGGATGATCAGCCGGTCAAACTCCTGCAGCTGGAAGGCCTGCGGGTGACAGGAGGAGGGGCTGATCAGCCAGGCACTGAGTCTGACAAGCCGGAAAGACCACCTCTAGGGTCCCCTGCCTACCACTGTGGCCCCTCCAGGCTCACATAAGGGATGTAAGTGGGGGGCTAGGGGCTCCCTAGCAAGGCCAGTGAGAAGACACAGGACCTGACGCTGAGGCCTGGTCACAGGTGACCATTGCACAGTCCAGAAGCTGAGGGTTTGCCTCAACCTCAGCTTTGCCTGAATCTTGCCTTTGCCTTCAGCACCCATGATGCAAGACAGGAAGCCAGGGCACAGAGCCATTGCTTGCGACGGGAACAGCCCAGCCTCAGAAAGCTGCTCTGTCAGGCTTCAGCCCAGCCTCACCTCGCAGGTGGTCCTGTGCTCCTGCTCCCACTCGGCCCGAACCTTCTCCAGCTGCTCGATGCTCTGCCTGTACGCCCTCTCTGCAAGCACAGGCAGCTTAGGGAGGCCACAGCCTGGACCCTCCCCCCTTCCTTGGAGCCTCAGAAGAGCTTCCTGCCTGCAGGGCCCCATGGGTTGATACGAGCCTTCTCAGGGACACCCCAGCTCCTCACTGCTCTGTGTGGGCTGGCTAGATCCTCAGACACAGTGCAGAGTCCAGGCCGCTGGCTGATCTTGCATCCCACACCCTCTCTAAATGGGAAACTGAGGCTCAGAGAGGGCATCCATGCCCGAGAAGAGGGTAGAAGGCATTGGAGCTGCTGGGCGGGGAGATTCCTTGTGCCTCAGTTTCCTCACTTGTTAAAAGGGGCTATCAGTGGGAGGGGGTCCCAAGCCTACCTGACTCGGTGGCTGCATCCTTGCACTGCTTGGCCTTGTTCTGGCTCTGGAAAGTTGGAGAGAGCTGTACTGAATCCCTGCCTGGCCCCAGACCCTCGAGCCACCCAGGAGTGGCTCTTACTGCAGTCTTTTCACTGTGCCACGCAGGGGATGCACAAGATGAACTGGGCACCTTGCGCCACACCCTGGAGCCTGCCCCAGTGGTCCTCACGGACATTTTAGCCCTTGGCCTAGTGCACGATGGACATCAAGACCTGTGGTGGAGCTGCCACCATTGAGCCTGTGGCTGGGACCCAGGCCCTTGAAACACATTTCGCTCCAACCCTGCCCCTTGGGGCCTCGGCTAATGGGCCTATTCATTGGGTGACATTGTTCCTGGGCCTGGGTGGCTCTGACACCTCCAGCCTGCCCCCAAGGTCCAAGCGGTCAAGAGCTGGGCCTGGGTGGCCTGAGTTTGGGTCCTTTCTCTGAGGCCTCCAAAGGCGCCTCTTATTCCTGTGCCCAGGGGCTGCTCTGAGGACTGGGTCGCAGGTACAGCTGGAGAAGACAGAGGGGACCTTCTGTCCAGGCCCTGAGACTCTAGGAAACCCACTGCACAGAGACTGGGGGGTCCAAGAAGAATTAGGCCCTCCCCCGGCGTGGCCCCCGTGGTCCCCTGACCCCAGCACCTTCTCCACTTGCTTCTGGCTGGCGCTGCTCCCACTGGCACTGATGCGCTCACAAGCCTGCCCAGCGTCGTCGGCGTCTCGGCACTTCTGCTCGTATGTTCTTTTGGACTGGGGTGTGGAGGTGGGGGCTGAGGCCTGGGCAGGCCTACCCCGTCCCCTAGAGTCACACACCCCAAGCCCAGACTCCCTGTCCTTAGTAGGACTATGGTGACATGGGGCATCTTTACCAGGGATAGAGATCTGGGAAGCAGAGGCTGCCGATAGCATTGGAGCAGCACCCTTCCTACTGGGACAAGGTGCCCCCCCCCAGCCCGAGTGTACCCACTTCTGTGTGTGGTTCCCGAGGAGGCACCTAGGGGATCCTTCCTTCCCACCTGGCATCCTGTGAACACCACCCAGGGACTCTACTCCCCTCAGGTCCCCAGCTGACAGTGTGATTACCCATGGCCACTATGTGGGACCCACCCTGTCCTATCCATAGGACCCCCAGAGGCCCTCACTGATCCACTGCTAGGGCAGTGCTGGCAAACCTGTTACACACAAGCCTCAGTGGGCTGTTTCTCTCATTGAAAGGTTTGCTTCGCTGCACTAGTGCCCTGGTGTCCACTGTAGCACCAACAGCTGAGGGCAAAGCTGGATTCCAGGCAGGTGTGAGTGCGGCCTGGTGTCCCCGTGAGCAGGCCCCTCACCTCCATGGCCTTCTTGTAGAGTGACAGTTTGCTCTTCTGGACGCGGTCCATGATGGCCTCATACTGTAAGCAGGGAACATGGGACTGAGTAAGGGCCATGGCCTGGGATGCTCCACAATACCAAGAGGATGACCATCCCTGCCTTGAGGCACGGCAGGTCCCTGGCTCTGGGAGGAGCCAGGCATCAAGAGCCACCTTCTACACAGTGGGGACCTGGCCTCCTGCAGCGTTCTCAGTGCACAGGGACACGCACACACAGACACAAAGACAGAGTCCTGTTTTCTTCATTCATAGCCTTTCTCCCGACCTCAATTGCTCACAGTACTCATGCTCGGATGCCCCTGTGTGCGCCATGTCCACACTCACATGCTCACATTTGCGCACAAACTCAAAACACAAACCAGATCCTCTATGCAGTGAGCACCACAGTACTCAGGCCATGCACCGTACAGCCACCCCTTCTTCGGGTGGAGGAAGTGGGCAGGGGAGGTGGTTAGACACAGTACCCAGGTGCCACAGCTGCCAGCCCTGGTCAGGTGGCCTGGTCACTGAGGCACACATGTACCCAGGGCCAGGTTGAGGACACCGTGCAGCCACCCTGTCCCTCAGGTGCAGGACACAAAACCAGTGTGACCCCACATGCCCAGCTCTGGGTGGCAGCAGGTGCTCCGCACGCTCAAGTCCCCACTCCCATCCCTGCCCAACACCAGGGCTGCAGTTCTGCTGCCCCCCAGTGGACAGATATGTGGCCGCCCTGAATTCCTGCCCTGGAAGCCTCAGCTCGGTCTGTGAATACTGAGTTCTCAACCCTTGGGAGCTGGACAAAAGTCTCACGCTACAACGAGAACCTGAGGCACAGGGAGGGAAAGTAATGTGCCTCCCATACCTTCTGCCTTGTGGTCACCCCAAGGCCGGACGCCCCTGTGCTGGTGAGAAGTGCCTTGGGCTGCTCAGCTGACTCATAGCCCTCATCACTCCGTGGTCTGCTACACCTGATCCTGGGACCCAGGACTGGTGTCCAGGGACCCCTCAGTCAGGCTGGCTGTGGATATCCCTGGGCTGCCCCAGAGACCTGCAGCCCATGCGGTAGGACAATCAGAGGCTGGCACCTTCCTCTCTCACTGGGCCCTGTCCACGCCCTCCACTGGTCACCCCACTCGACGCCTGGGCTGTGCCCTCCTCACCTTGCGCCTCTGCTCCTTCTGGCGCTCTCGGAACTCCTCCAGGCTCCGCAGCTCCTCACGCAGGGACAGGGCCAGCTGGAGGTGTGCGCTGCCCACGTTCTCCATCTCTGGGGGCAAGCCTGTCTCAGCCCACCACAGCTCCCCTACCCAGCCCTGTCCAGCACCCTTCACCTCTTCTGTGCCTCACACATGTACCCTCGGCCTTGCAGCCTGGTACAAAGCCAAAAATAGCCAGCCTCACCCCCCTGGCAGGCATCCACTCCGACCATTACCCTGCAGCCCCCAGCAGGGACAGTGAGGACTTACGCTGCTTCAGGGAGTCAAAGGAGGCCCGCAAGGTGCTGCAAGACAGAAAGGACCAGGTTGCCTGGGAGACCCTGTGCATAAAGCTGAAATGCTAGGAGGCCCACACTTTTTATTGGGGGTGGTGGGGCAAACCATCTTGGATCCAAGGGACCTATGGCATAGCTCAATCATGATCATCCACATGAACTCCATCCTGGAATTTCTGGCAGGGGAAGCTCTCTAGGAATTACAGAGTAATCCAACCTTTCTGCTGTGGTAGAGGAGGGAGGCAGGGACATCCCTGCCTCTGCACCTTTCTTGGTGCCCCCTCCATCCAGTCATCTCTCAGCACCCAGGATGAGGCTGAAGCAGGAGGGGGCCATGGTCAGACCTGGCCTCAGGCAGGGGAATGGATGAGCGCTCAGAAGCAGCTTGGGGAGTGGCTGGGGCCACCAGGTGGCAGGAGGGGACAGCTATGGGTGCTGCCCACTGTAGGGAGGGGAAGGGTGGGCTTGGGAAGAGGGGAGGAGAGGAGCCAGGTCTTGGGGACAGTGACAGTGCTAGGCTGGGCAGGTGAAAACAGGCACTTTTTGGACATCAGATACACAGGCGCAAACATTACACTGGCCCAGAGAATTCAACCTCAATTCTAAAGGCAAAGGACCTTTCCCATCCCCGTTTCACAGACAGGAAAAGAGGGAGGCCTCGGAGGAGGTCTCTGCTCTCCCTGACTCCTAGACTGTGGTACCACGCAGGCCTCTACCTCTATCCACCCATCACTGGTGCTCCTGGGTACAGCTCATCCTATTGGCCTTTTCTACTTGACCCTTAGGAAGCTCAGTCTGCCATTCTGCCCTCAGACAAGTCCAGCTTCCCAGTGTAAAGGGCTCTTCCTATATTCTCCCCTGATGTGGCCTGTGCCATCTCAAGTCCCTGCTTCAGCATCCCTATCCTTTCTCTACCTGGCTCAGATGCCCCAGCCAGCACCTCCCTGCACAAAGGGCTGTGCCCATGGTAGGCTGGCATCAGGGACAGGCGTGCCGCCCAACAGTTCCTCAGGGATGGCTTCCTTCTCTCAGCTCTCAGAGGAACAGCAATCACTAAATAATTTGCAGGAAAACCACAGTGCCTCAGGTCTATAGCAAAAGGAGACAGGGCTCTCCTTGCTCCCAGGAAGCTGGCCCAGCCCTGCCCACCTCAATGCTCTGACCCTGGCCCATGAGCTTCCAGGAGCCAGGGCACCCGTGATTTGTCAGGGCCAGAGAGGGCGAGTGGGAAACAGCTAATCTTGTAGGGTACACAGAGGGCAGAGGGGGCACCAAGTCTCAGTTATGACCCCTGAGTTAACAGCCCACCACAGAGGCGCATGCCACAGTCACGTTTAGATGGCAGAGATGTCCCCAGTGTTCTTCTCCCTGGGGCTACCGGCAGCTGCCATGGGAGGCTGAGGGATGTTACAGAGCTGGGGCAAAGCTCTGCCTCCTGGTGTGGGCACAGGACCCACTGGCTGTCTTCCCATTCCTCTCTGCTTACCCCTGCCCAGGGGCTGAGAGAGGCTCCCCACAGAGCTGGGCTCCACACCCAGGGCTGGGCCACCAGCCAGGCCTCCCTCAAATGTGTCTGTGCTAGGGACCAATGTGCCCACTCACGTCTCCTACAAGGAACCTCCAGGCCCCAACCATGGGAAGGCTTCCTAGAGGAGGTGGAGGTGGAAGAGGAGAAGGAGGAGGGAGAGGGGGAGAGGGAGGGGAAGGAGAGGGAGAAGGAGGGGAGCGGGAGGAGGAAAGAACACCACCACCAGCAGCAGCAGCTTTCTCCTTGAGCTGGGCTCGTCCTCAACCCATGGAACACTATAGGTGCTCCATAAATGCTTACAGGACAAACAAATGGAAGACAGCTACTCCACCTTGTTCAAGGAGTGACAGCCGGCCTCATGCCCTAGTGTGTGCCATGCTGGGCAGCAGCAAGAACCACTGAGGCCACTGTGTGCAGATGGCAGAGCTGCACATTGGCCCTAGGGGAGGGATGGCAGGATGGACCCTGCTTGGGATCCCCACCCAAAAGCAACACCCATCTGCTGCATGCCCCATCTGGCCACTTCTGGCTTTTCCTGCTCCATTCCCAGCTTGCCCTGGGGGCCAGGTTCTGGACTACAAGCCTTGGAGTTCCTTCTTCTTCTTCTTCTTTTTTTTTTTTTTTTAATGCAAGGTCTTGCTATGTGCAGATGGCAGAGGAAAGAGGGACCCAGGGCAGGCTACCCTTGAATTCTCAGTGATCCTCCTGTCTCAGCCTCCCAAGCACTGGGATTACAGGCATGCACCCCCCCTCCCACCCTGCGTAGGCTTCCTTATTTGTGGGCCTCACTATCATTGAGGGCCCAGAGCACCTCTCAGGGGTGACCACCACCTTCTTCAGGGACCCATAACTCAGAAAGGGAAGCTGAGTCAGGGCACATCTGCCCTGCTCAGCCCTCCCAAGCCCCCAGCTCAGCTCAATCCTCCTCCCAGAAATCAGCTTCTCCTTTCCTGCTGTTGGTCCCAGTGACTCACGGTCCCTTGAGCATGGCTCACAGGACCTGTCTCCCATCCTCCTGGCCCAGTCCCAGTCTCTTGGAAAATCCATCTCTCCTGGGCACTACCCCCAGCCTCTATCAACCACATGGCTGTCCCCTCAGTGTCACTGTACCCAACTGCACCTCAGCCCAGGGCAGCAGCATATGGGACTTGTGTTCAGAAACGTCACAGTGTTGTGTAGGGACATAGCATAGACCTGCACGCTCTGGCCCACACTAGCCACTCGATCCCCATGCATGACCTTCCCAGCCCCAGCACTCCTAAAGCTTCCTGTGGCCTACCCAGGGCTTCATAGGCAGGAAGGGCCAGGGTACCCTGGTGTGGTCTATTTGGGGACTCTCCCAGACAAAGCAGGGTGTGTCACCACCAGGAATCAGTGCAGGTAGAGGGCATAATGGCTCTGGGGGCTCAGGCCTCAGGCCCCCATTCAGGACTGAGCCCAGCCTCCTCTGTCCCTGTCTGGGAGTGTCCACACCTTCCCAAAGCCACCTATACCCCAGTCTCTAGTGCCCAGCCTCAGCCACCCTCTCTGTCCCCTGCTCAGGCAGGCACAGATTTCACCAAGACCATTCCCCAGGGAACCCTCCCAACCAGGCCTGTGCCACGCCCTGGCCATTTAACTTGCTAAGGATAGGGATGTTCTTATCTTGCCTCTGATAGGGACAGCAGCAGTCCCACCTCCCATCCTGGAGGGAGAGGACAGGCCCCAGGCTCCCAGTGTGCCCCCACCTGACCTCCTCTCCATAAAAGAAGCCCAGGCTGAGACATCGCCACAAGAGCTGGGACAGGCAAACGGAGGCCATTTCTGCCCCCCACCTCCTGGACTGGCACTGGCTGGGCTGTGAGTAGCTGGAGACTGAGGGCACTGATGGTCCTACCCACTAGCACCTGGACCCCATCACCAGGCACCATGCAGGCCCACCTTCATGAGCAGTCTAGGTGCCCCAGCCCTGTCCTGCTACCCTGCCACAGGATACCCAAGAGAAAGTTGCGAAGACGCAGCCAAGGAGGGGCCAGAGCTATGCCTGGAGCTTACTTGATCTCCGTCTGTCCACCTGCCTTCCGCGCAATCTGCACCAGCTCCTTCCCATACCGCTCCTCTGCCTGGGCCCTGCAAGACACAGGGGACACTGCTGTGTCCTCCTGGGTGCTTCTGCCAGCCTTAGGAAAGACAGCTACTGGCAGGAGCCAAGGCCCAGTCTCTCCACCCAAGGGACCTTTGGGTTCCAGGCTGGGAGGCCAGCGTTGGCTTTCAGCTTCCTGGAGCAGGGTGTCCCAGCAGCAGCCCAGAAATATGGGGCCCCACCCTGCCCACACCTTGCCCCACACCTCTGCCGCAGCAGCTCCTCCACGTCCTTGCACATCTTTCTGCCATCCAGCAGCCGCTGTAGCAGCACCTCATAGCCTGTGTGGGCCGTGAAATCCCTGCACTGGAACACAAGACACAGGAACACATGAGGTCAGGGTGGGGCAGTGCATGGGGTGGGGCATGACGCACTGGGGACCCCTTGCCACTCCTGGAGCAGCCGTGCTAGCAGAGGTGAGAAGCAACTGGACAGGGCCATTGTGCCTGGTGTCAGGGCTTACAGACCAGGACACATCCACACCAACATGGGACAGCAGGAAACAGGGCTATCCCCAAGGCCCTGAGGCCACTGCCAGCCCTGCAGCTCATACCGCGTGGGGTCTGGTGCTGCTGTGCCTGCACCCTTCAACCCCATCATCTCACTGTCTGAAGGGGAAATGAGTGTGTGGTGACCCAGCATGGCTTAGGGGCCTGGCACTGAGCACAGGGCCATCCAGCTAGTATCACCCCCTCCATGGCCTCTGGGATAACAATGGCATGATGGGTCCCCAGGCACCAGCAGTGTGCCCAGTGCTGCGATGGCCCTCCACACAGCCAGAACAGGCCTCTCCAGAGCCTCCACCTTGCAGTGGGTGCCAGGGCATGGCCAGCGCTGCTGCATACTCACCATGTTCCTTTCCTTTTGGTGCTGGGGAAGGAACCCAGGGCCTCATACACAAAGCCATCACTCACTCCTGAGCCACCCTAGCCTTGGGTCAACTCCCAAGAGGGCATACAAGGGGCACCTTGGAGCATCTTGGGTTCCAGGTATGAGGCTGAGCTGCTGTGCAGCAGCTGGGGAGTACAGGGCTGCAGGGTTTAGGGTCCTACAGTGCCCCCCACCCCAGGGCCAGGCACCCACTCCCAGCCTTCCCAATCCAACGAAGTGAGCCCTGGTGGGAGGCAAGGGCTCTTTCACTCTTGAGGACTCCTGAGTGCTTGGGCTGGCAAATGGGCACCAGGCAAGCCCTGAGATAGACTCAGCACTAAATCTGTACTGCCCTCTGAAGCCTCAGAGGCTGGAAAAAGGTCACACGTATCACATGCCCATCCCATAGAGGTCACTGGGCCCTGCCCAAGGTCAGACATACTTAACCTGTCTTCTGGGCAAAGTCTGGCCTCTTTCCCCTGCCCCCAGCCTCCCCTCAAATTATAGGTACAGTGGAGAGTACTGAATGAAAATCACAGGAAGCTTCCTGCAGGAAGAGGTATTTGAGCCAAGCTCTGTGGAGACAAGAGGTCTCCAGGGCTTAAGGAGAATCAGACATGGGAAGAGGCAGATGGACTCTCACTCCAGGTCTGTCTACCCTTGGCTGAGCAGCGTCACAGAGATCACTACACTCCTGTTCTTCTCAGTAGATGGTCCCAGGAGCTCCTGCAGGGGACCTGTCCTGGGCACGGTGTCGGCCCCAGGCCCAGCCTGGTGGCTCGGGACCCAGCCTCATCTCTGCAGCTTTCATACACGACACTTGCTGGCTAAGTGACCAGCAGACCCAGATGCTTCTCTCTCTCCTGAGCCCCAGGTCAGAAGCTGCAGTAGTAGTAGGGGAGGAAAACAAACAGGAGCCGGAGCCTCAGCCTCAGCCTCAGCCTCAGCCTCAGCCTCAGCCTCAGCCTCAGCCTCAGCCTCAGCCTCTGCCCTCCCTGAGAGGGGTCGTACTGAGCAGGCGCCACATTCAGGCCAGGAAACCACAGACCCTCCTGGACAGCTTTCTGTTCCCTAGTCTTGCAGACAGCAAGGGAGAAGGAGGGCCAGCCGGGGCCACAGTCAGGACTGTATCAGTGTGAGAAGAGATCCTGGCTTCCCCACAGGTCCTTTCCCCTGCCCTTGCTGACACCCTAGAGTGAGAGAAAAGCCATGCAGACCTACATTGGCCATCCTGGAACCAGAAGAAAGCAGCGACCGGCCCACAGTCTGAATCCTCAGGAGCACAGTCTCCACAGTGCTAAGGCTGGTGACTTTTGTCCCCAGCCCACACAGCACCATGAGCCACAGGCATGGTGACTGGTGACTAGGTTGTTCTGAGGAAGCACCTGACCAGGGGCTGCCCAGCCCACTGCTTGGTGGCACCTCCTCCTCTACTCCCCAGTTGCATCCTCCTCCTGTTCCTCGAGGCTCAGTGTGCTGTTGAGGGAGAGAGGAACCAACATTTCCTCTCTGCTATAGACCTACCATCCAACGCCCAGCGCCAGAATCACCCCCATCCAGAGTCCTAACCCCAGCCTACCCATCCACCTCTTCCATCCACCTCATCCTCAGACTCCATCCTGCCCATAGCTTTGCCTTCTGAGAATTCAAAATTGAACTCTTGCTCCATGGGTCACATTGTCCCCTGGGCACTGATCACAGGAAGGACTACAGTTATAGATGTGTGCCTTTCACAGCTAGAGCTCCCTAGGACCCTAGAGCCACTCTTAGGAAAGAAGTCATCAAAAGAACAAGACCTCAGTCTCTGAGGCCCTGTGCCAGGACAAAATCCCCCCACAGTCCATAGTCTCATCCCTTCCTGTTTCTTCTCTCCCAGGCCAAGCCCCTGCTTCCCCTTCATTACTTGCTTGTAGTTGACTTCAAAACTCCCTAATTGTGTAAGTCACACAGCTAAGCTGCAGAAGATATGTGCGGCGAAAGAAGACAGTGAATGCTTAAATTAAAAAAAAGCAAAACAAAACACTAAAAGACATATTGACATTGATTTTGCTATAATCTTCCTGCTCATTCTGAACACATTTATCCCATTGTTCTTGCTGCGTTCAGAAGCTCTCTGGAGTCTCTTCCATGAGTGTGTTTAGTGGTGCTGTCATGGCTGCCTCAGTGTCCCAAATCCACCTCAAATATTTCCCTTTCGTGGTTATTTTGACTTTAGGGCAGAGTTAAAAATCACACAATGTCAGATCCGCTGAATAAGGTGAAAGAGGATACACCTTCATGCTTTTATTTGATGGAAATTGCTGTACCAGCAACGTGAGACACGGAACATTGTCATGATGGAAGATAGGGCCATATGCCCGTGTCTCAGGCTGTATTCTATGCACGTTGTTTCTTGAATGCTCTGATTAAGCCCTGATCATATTCAGAATTCATGGTAGTGTTTCTGGGTACAAACTCCGCTCACAAAATTCTACCAAGGTCAAAATATACAATCAACATCACCTTGATGTTTGTCGGGTCTACAGAGCTGAGTTATCCAGAGATGGACACCCCTTAACGTTGGATCTTGATTGATGTGCTTCCTCACACAAAAAGTGGGTGATTTCCATTGGGAACACTGACCCTCAGTCTCAAGATAATAACCATACACCCAAGTGTCACCTCCTGTCATGGCATTCCTTAAAAAGCTGCAACTTGAAGCAGCAGGACCAAGCAACTCCAAGGAAGTGGACAGAAATCTCACATTAAGGGGTGATTTACATCACACTGTAAAACATGGCTCCTCCACCATAGCTCACAGCTGAGCAAGCTGGAACTTCTCACACAGTGTCACTCAGCTTCTATGGGATTCCCTACTGAGGACCTTACCCTTATGTTGGGTGACTCTTGGCAGCAGCGCTCACCACTGGTTTTGATTGCACCTGGGATTATTGGTGTCCCACAAGCTCTGCAGTAGACAGCACCTCTGCTACACAGATTATGATGGTTATGGTTGCCTAGGACACTTTTCAGGGACTTGGTTGCAGTTTTTCCCAAACCCTCAGTAATTCCTGTGCTCCAATACAGGTGTCCAAACCTTTGACATCGAGCTTCACCCCTGGACTATCCAATCTGAACATGCACTCCGTGAAGAGCCATGAAGACTGATACATGCACATAAACGCCAACCCTATCCCCACACCTTAGCGGCCATACGCACCCGATACATCTTCCCAAAATCCTCCTTAGGAGGAAGATGTGAGGCTCTGGGCTCCAGCTCCATGCTCAGCCGTCCTGGAATACACAGCCCTATCAACGATGGGCAGGGGCTGCGTGTGTGCGTGCGTGCGTGTGTGCGTGTGTGTGTGTGTGTGTGTACAAAACAGGCCTGGTTTGGTAACAAAATACCCACTGACCAGGTCCCTGTGCCACAGACCACACCAAGGATATCCTGGCAGCTAGCTTCAAAAATGCCACAGATCCAGAAAGGCAGGGATAGCAACGAGGAAGCCCAAAGAGGGGAGAGATAGACACTCCACTAGAAAAAGGCAGGGTTGGGATTGGAACTCAGGTCAGCCCATCCCCCAAGCCCTATGGGTACATTCGTCATTCAGTAAGGACTTTTCATTGGCAAATAGAAAAAGTGACACTTTTTTTTTTTTTTTTTGAGATCCTATCTTAGCTACTCCCTCGAAGTCTCAGTGGTCCTCCTGTCTCTGTCTCCCAGATGCTGGGATTACAGGCATGCACCATCACTTCTAGCATAAAAAAATGACTTTGGAAATGATTCCTCAGAGTCAGTCCACCTCTAAGCAAAGCTGTGATCTGGGCTATACTTCAGTTGTTGAGCTCTCAGGGGCTGGCTGTGTGCCAGGCTGAGCCAGGAGTACCACCTGGAAGAGAAGCACCAGCAAAGAGCCCCATGGTACCAGCATGTCCCCACCCAGGCTGGGGGTGCCAGGTATCTCCAGAAGGCCTCATAAGGGAGATATGGGCTTAGCCTTTGTCACTCCTTGTGTGTGGCCAGCAAGTCCCTCAGGGCTCCAAGACAAGCTGCAGAAAGTTCATTTCAGAAAGTGGGTACAGGGCCTGGGAGATGGCTCAGTAGAATAAGCGCTGGCCTGGCAAGTGCAAGGGTCTGAGTTCAATCCCCCCCAAAGAAAGAAAGAAAGAAAGAAAGAAAGAAAGAAAGAAAGAAAGAAAGAAAGAAAGAAAGAGGTGGGTACAAAAGTCTGCTGACCTCTCCTGCACATGGTGGGCCACTGCTCTTGCCCCTGGGAGCCAGGGGTGCACCACTGCCAGGCTGTGCCCTCCCTGTGGAGTGGACCGCTATCAGGGTGTGCCCTCCCTGTGGCAGAGCCACCTCTATATTCACCACCACTTCCTCCTCTCCGGCCCATATCATGCTTGGTGGCTTCAGGGTGGCCACAGAGACCAGGCCCTGAGCCAGCCACTTC